GCTACTACAGCCAGTCAGTCACTCCTCGCTCCTTGTAAAGCGTATTGTCCACGTAAAGCTTATCCACCGAGATGACAGCTCTCTTCCCATCCTGGATAAACTTTTTACGCAGCGGAAAGAGGACTCGGCGCCAATCCGGGATTTTCTTAGGTAACTGGTCATTTACGCTGAAGTCTTTTCCTTTGAGCTCTCTTCCGTGACTTTTAACAAGATCCTTCTGCTTAAAATGTTCAAATTTAGCCACGATGGGACAAGGTCTTCTGCTGTCCACTCGTCTAGCTCCAAGGCGATGTACCCGGTGAAAGGTGATGTTTTTTACCATTTCTTCGGGTATCTTCATTTGGGTCTGGAGAAGGTTCTCGAATGTATGCTCGCAGTTCTCCGCTCCTCCCGCCTGCTCCTGGTCCTTTTTAAGTGTGTACTAAAACGGCATCAAAATAAAACATGATTCCAATAAAATATAGTTAAAATAACACAGAAAAGAAAAAAGTTTTACCAAATAACAATAAGGAGTTTATTCCACAGACTGGAGGAGCGACCCACTCTGGTCTGTCTGGTCTTTGGACCTGCTTGTAGGTTTTGGTTTGCGGACCTGAGGGCTTTGGTTGGAGTTTTACTTAATTCGGTGATTTAACGACAAACTAAGCCAACCCTGAAAGGTGAAGTCAGGATTTTAAAATAAGCTCTAGAGTTAGCTGGTGATCAGTACAGACCATCGACATACATATATGGACAATGGGTTTCCATAGACTCCAATAATAAGTTTTTGTACTAAAATGGGAGGTGGCCACCACCGCCATTTTGACCGTGTCACAGGTTCCGTCAAGCCCAGACAATTCCACAAAAGGGAAGAGAGGTGGAGCTGAGGGTGGGGCTGTAAGGCTGGGATCAACTGACGACATCTGGTCGAACTAGCTACAAGCTAACTTAAGCTAACCCAAAGCTAATGCGTAGGTGGGAGCTAAGCTAACGGAGGTAGCAACCTAGCTACAACCGGAGTTAACTGTGCACAACACCAGAGCTTCTGAGTCAGAGATACGCCGGGCTGACCGCTGGGTAAAACCGGGGGGAACACAGAGGTCTCCCGAGAGTTCCACAAGCCGGCAGCCGCACAGCAGACAAGCGCCGCTGCGATCTGAGATGCGCAGAGCTGCTGCAGGGGAGAACCGGGTGGAAAGGTTTCCATCCCAGAGCTCTACAAGCCGTCAGAACGCGCAGCAGACAGGAGCCGCGATCAGACAGAGATGCGCCGAGCTGTCGGGAGACCCAGCCATCAGTCCGCGCAGCACACAGAAGTTGCGATCAGACGCACCGAGCTGCCGGGAGACCCAGCCATCAGCCCGTGCAGCACACAGAAGCTGCGATCAGACGCACCGAGCTGCCGGGAGACCCAGCCATCAGCCCACGCAGCAGACAGGAGCCGCGATCAGACAGAGATGCGCCGAGCTGCGGGGAGGCGAGAACGGGTGGAAAACATCGGTCTCCCGAGAGCTCCACAAGCCGATAGTCGGAACCCAGCTCCACCAACATGTTATATTTCAACCCATTGTCTAAAGTGCAGCATTATGTTAAATGCACTGGGGTTTACCATATTACATTTCAATCAATCAATCAAATTTTATTTGTATAGCACCTTCTACAACATTATCGGAAGCCCAAGGTGCTGAACAACATCATTAAAAGAAAAACATTACCAGTACATGGGCATAAAAGCAGGATAAAAACATAAAATCATAAAATATCAAGCAAACACTATTACATATAAAGAGAGATATCGGAATAAGACTATTCGATAAAAAACAAATGTTGGACAAAATAAAATCAAGCATCTGGGTTAAAAAAAAGAATAGTTAAAACCATAATGTCAGGGCAATTCAAATGACCCTAGAGCTAAAACGCAATCAAATAAAAATGAGTCTTTAAACGAGACTTAAAGACTTGAAGGGATGGTGCCTGCCTAATGCTCGGTGGCAATTCGTTCCACAGAGTTGGAGCCAAAATAGAAAAAGCACGACAACCCCTCGATCGATATTTCGACCGGGGGACCACCAGAAGTTCCTGCTCGGCTGAGCGAAGAGACCGAGATGGAGCATACCTGTTCAAAAGCGCAGTAATGTACGAGGGGGCACTGCCCTGGAGGGTCTTATAAACGAGAGTTAAGATTTTAAACTTAGCTCGATATTTTACCGGGAGCCAGTGCAGAGCAGCCAGCACTGGGGTAATGTGCTCTCGACATCTAATACCTTACCTGTCAGGAACCTAGCCACAGAGTTCTGCACAAACTGGAGCCGTGCAACCGTGCACTGGGCCAGACCAGCATACAGAGCATACATTTAAATTTCATGGTTAAACAGTACATGTTAAAATCTAAGCTCAGCTCGGCAGTGACCTAAAATACATAAATATAATTTTACTTACCGAAAAAAATGAAGTGGAGACTCCTTGGACGCTCTATTAGTGCAATTAATGCCACAGCAAGTCATTTTGTCCAACAATTGCACAAATAATATCCAAAAAAGAATACACAAACACAGAGACTCAAAATGCCGGAGCAGTTTCCAAGCCAGACCGAGGCTCTACTGAGGCCTTTCCATGGAGCTAGCTCTGTGGTCACGTGGGTCTGAGGCAGCGGTCACGTGGGTCAGATGCTCTTTAATTGTACTGAATTTTAGGCTTTTAATACACTTAAACAGAAGAGTGAGAAAAAAATTCACCCCCCCTCAGAGTTGTCATGAGTGTAAACTAGATAACTTAAACAAAAAACATGTTTTGGTACCAGGCTGTAAACATGTTTATTTCTGCTGTGAAATTGGTATTTTAAACATGGGAGTCAATGAGGATTTGCTCGCTTCTGACACCAGCCCCCAGCGGATGAGGGTGGAACTGTAATTTTTGGTACTTCCGGGTTGGGACCAATTTCTGAGCCGTATTGTGGGGGCTTGGTACAGACAAATAATGCAAGTATGAGCCTTGCTGCAGTTTTTGGTTGGATGGTTTTTATTATTAAAACGTGAAAACTGCTAAAGTAAAGTTTGGTTTTGTGTTTTTGGAAGAACAAAGATATTCTGAGAATTTACAAGTGCAAAGCCACAATTGGTGATAGGATGATGAGTGGAACAACAGCGAATATGTGGAGAGAAGCAATTTGCCCTGATATTTTGAGTTGTATGCTCAATGAATGCAAGACAACCGATACAGAAATTGAGAATATGGCCATAAGAGGAACACTGGAGACTATAATCCTTCCTGATTGATATCAAATGGCTGTCTCACAACCACTTCCTCTGTACAGAGCAGTTAATGCTGTGTAACGTCCAAAAAGATCAATTTTCTCCTATATATTGATCAACATAAAAACCTTTCATCTACAGAAATAAATCCACTTTCTATTTGGTCTTCTAAATCCAGAAGGTTCTGTTCAACGCATGTTGACGTTCCATGAAGACAAAACATTCAAACAAACATTCTCTCCCAAGGATTCTGCACTCTCTGTGAAAGCCAAACGTCAACATTCTTCACTCTGAATAAGTGAAGACTCCATGATGTTATAGTTATAAGTTAAATAATCATATGTGATGAATGAACAAGATGTTTAAATAAAATGTTTGAATAATCTGTGCTTCAATCAATGAATTTGAAATAAATATTCTTACAATAATCCATTTATATCACAAATCACTGTGTTTGATTTAACAAGTTAATCATTGTTTACACTCATACACATTACAATAAGATACATGTTAAGGTTAAAAACATTTTTGTATCTGAAGGAAGGCGTGGCTTTCTGAGGGAAGTTGGTAAATACCCAGAAATGTGTCAAATTCTGATTTGCCAAACTTGGCCAGAAATCACAACAAAGTCATTTAGTAAAACAAGAATTACTTCCCGAGTAATTCAGTTTCCAGCTGACCCCCGATTCGGCCAAATCGGGAAAGAAGCCTCTTTTGAAACAAACTCCTTTGACCTTAAGTCAAAAACCTTTCTGCGATGCTGCAAGTGATTACAGACACAACAGCTTTTCAGAGCTACTTCAACTCTCAGACATCCACCTTGGACACCTAATCTGCAGACCCTGGGTTGCATCTCATGGCCTGGGAAGCTGAACTCAGACGAAGCTACTAATCTCTGAGTATTGTGGTTTTGACGTCTGATGACCTCACCACACTGACAGCAAACCTCCAGACCGCTGGGAGCAACTCATACCAGGGTATCATAAGCCTGCATGCTGGTGGCTGATGAGGTTTATAAATAAACAACTCTCTAGTTATAACAAACAACTAATTCTTTTACACCCAGATTTCACAATTTCTCCTAGATACAAAGAACGGTTGCTACAACATCTAGCTTCCATCACAACACCTCACATCCACCACATCACATCTCCTTATTCATATCTTGTCATTGATCATTAGTTTAGGAAAAATAATTAAATTAATTTTATAAACTACATACTGACTCTGTCTGAATTAATACGAGGTGTGTTTATGGTCCCTGAATAAGCAAAGAACCCTAGAATCCTCCGATTAAATATTCTAATGCGGCGGCTGGGTGCGGCGGTTTGAGCACTGGTGTTTCTACATACAAGCTTACTATAAAATGAAACGGCACTGCACGCCTGCCCCTTCCCTCCAGTTCATTACACCAGCCTGGGGAGTTTGAGGGGGGTGCGGTCTATCACTGCCGCTCTCTTGGTCCGCCAGGCGACGCCTCTTTCAGAAGAGTTTTCCTAACAGGAAATGTGGATGAAAAACGTTTCCACCCATGCCTTGACCCTCATTTTAAAGCTTCAAAATCTTTTGTGTTTATCGATTTTAATTATTTATAATTTTTGCTTAATATTTTGTTTTTGAGATCATTTGATCACTATTTGTTTTGTTGTTGCTCCTTGTGAAGCACTTAGTGAATTTTCTTCCAGTGAACAGTGCTATTTAAATAAATGTTACTTTACTTTTATGTGTCAGAAAAACAATTAATTAAGCTTTCATCCACTTTTTCCATAG